AAAAAATCAATTAGGTGGGTGTGGTGGCAAGTGCCTGTGGTCCCAGCTACTCAGGAGGCTAAGGTGGGCGGATCACTTGAGCCCAGGTGACCGAGGATGCAGTGAGCTGAGATTGTGCTATTGCACTCCAGCCTGAGTGACAGAGCACGACCCTGTCTCCAAAAACAAGAAGGAGGAGGAGGAGGAAGAGGAGGAGAAGGCGAAAAAAAGGAAGAAGAAGAGGAAATAGGGTGGGTATTTTATTCCCCAAACACCTCCTGCCACACAGAGGTAATCATTTCTACTAATGCAGCATTCCCTGGGATGTAGTCTGGAAACGCCAGGCCCCTATGGTTTCAGACTATCCCAAAGCTAGAGAGAGACTGACACCATCAAACTGAAGGTGGAGGCAGGGACAGGAAGCCTGTGGCTAACAGACAGACATAATAAAGATGGGCTCTAAGTTAAAGAAACTGGGCTCCTCTAAATCTGGGCCTTTATCCTATGGAGTTGCTGGAGATCGGATTTACCAGCATCTGAGTTTTTATTTATTTATTTTTTAATAGAGACAGGGTCTCATTGTATTGCCCAGGCTGGCCTTGAACTTCTGGGCTCAAGCAATCCTTCCATCTCGGCCTCCCAAACTGCTGGGATTATAGGTGTGAGCCACCGTGCCCAGCCCTAAATGGGTTTTTAAAGTTTTCTTGCCAAGGAACTGTTGATGGCCTACAAACAGGAGCCTGGGATCCCTGGCCTCCGCGGAAGTGTTCAGGCTCCCCTCCACACACCTCCTGTAACCACGCCCACAGGAAGAAGCTGCCACGTCACCACCACGCAGGTCAGCCATGGAACGCGCTGCTGCAAAGCAGGACCAGACGCTCCCAGACTGGCTCACTCGGAAACCAACTCCTCCACCAGCAAGAGAAAGGATACCCTTTAGACCAGTGACCAATGTAGTTTTCCCTTCTCCTTTCTCAAATGACAGTTTGTAACCTACAGTGCCTCAGTTTCCTCAACTGTAAAGTGGGGGATAATATTTGTATTTACTACATGGGATTCATGTGAGGATTAAATAATTTAAATTAAAAAATGCTTAGAATAATTCCTGGCAAAAAAAAAAAAAAGTGCTCGGTTAGGTTTGGGTGTCGCTCTGCTGGGTCAGCCATCCTCCTTCTCCTCCATCAGCGTGTCCTGAGTGTGTAGGAAATGGCTGTCCATTTATTTGTAGATTTTTCTTGAGTTGGGGTCTTGGACTGTTTGCCCAGGCTGGAGTGCAGTGGCGCAATCAGAGCTCACTGCAGCCTCAAACTCCTGGGCCCAATCAATCCTCCTGCCTCAGCCTCCCAAGTAGCTGGGACTACAGGCATACAACACCATATTGGCTAATTTCTTTTATTTTTTGTAGAGACAGGATTTCACTGTTGCCCAGCAGGTCTCAAATTCCTGGCCCCAAGCAATCCTCCCACCTCAGGCTCCCAAGTCGCTTCACCCATTTCCTCCCAGTCCTGGCACAGCCCTGCATACGTAACTGATACATACAACTTAGATAACAAAAAGTGACTGAGAACTACTTTATTTGAAGATATTTTCTTCTATAGTTCTAAACACAAAAGGAATGCTGTTATAGTGAGTACTTCATAGGCATTCTTGTATTCAAATGAATCACATAATGTTTACACTTTTAAGCTACACTTGAAATTGAAGACTTAATACACCCTTTTAACAAAGAAAGTATCAGTCATATCAAAACATAACTATTCATTTTACAGATTATCACTTTCCCTAAAATGACTACTAGATATGAAAACACTGCAGGGACAGCTAAAGCGCCCCATTCTTAAGGTTTTAATAGAAAAAATGACAATAATGTAAATCACATTCTTTACTAAACTATGGCAATCCATTTAAGAAAGCACCAGCCAGCCGTACAAGTCATTTCAGCACCCTTTGCTCTTCAAAATTAACCATCTTTTATATTTAATGCTTCCGGTAGGAATAAAAATGGTTATGTCAAGTACAGATGTCAGCAATGTGTCAGTTGGTGTGAATTTATGATGTGTTCCTAAGTTAACAGAGAAAATAAAAATAAAAAAAACTCTTATTTGAATAAAACCTAAGGATGAAAAACTATCCTTTGATAATTATCACAAGGCAAAATCAACCGCCTTTTCATCAGTCCTAGTGTGGAATGGAAATTTATTAATACTTTTTATGGGAATGTTTTAAAGGCATAGGTATAAATGCACATGCAATCAGCTTGCCCCTCTTGGATACTAACTTCCCTGGCTTCACTCCTCCTTTTCACTGGACCAAGCTGCTGAGCCCCTAACTGCAAAGTCTGCAGTGCTTAGTGAGCATTTTTAAATAAAGCAGATTACATATGATTTTCATTTTTTCACACACAAAAAAAGAAGTACAGAGAAGACTATGAAAAGGAATGAGAAAAAGGCATAGAGCAAAAACCTAAAACACAGGATGTGATGTTCAAATTTAAGAGAAAAACAAAACTGGTTCGTGATGATTGTTAGCAAATCACAAAAACAAAGGATAGGGCCAAGACCGAAGGGACCACCAGACCACCGAGCCCCAATGTGCCAGACAAAAGTGGGCATTTTTGAGATGATGCCCTGGTGAAGACAATTACAGTGAACCTCTCTATAAGGCCATAAACTCTTCAAGGTCATGGACCATGACTTATTTATGTCTGTATTCTCAGTTCTTAGCATTGTCTTGCAAATGACAGACACTCAGTATTTCTGGTAACCACAGAACTGGAGCTCAATCAGCTCACTGCTTTCAAAGCCATTTTGGTTGGTATCTACCAACTTGATTCCTTCAACTCCTCTAAGGCAGGGATGGTGAACAGCCTTCATTTCACTTGATGGACTGGGAATAGATGTCTGGAAGCACCAATCTGACATGGATTCTAAGAGCAAATCCTGGCACAGAGGACAGGAATGCTGCACTCATTCATGATGCCTCCTTAAAAGAGCGGTGGCACAGGTGTTATGTATTTCCCACTCCTGGTCTAGGAAAAAGGCACCCAACCCCTACTCATACTCCTTTTACATTGCTAGGCTGCCTCTTGAGTGATCTGCATTAAGCCACTGTTCGTTAAGTGCTGGTTGATCAGGAAGACCAAGGCCTTTCCTCTCAATGTATGTCTTTGGCCAAACAGGTAGGGTCAGAACTTCACCTAGAAATCTGAAAACACATCACCCACAATGCTCAATAAGCAACAATTCATTGAGAGAGAACAGGCATTTACTTGATTACTACCTCTGTAGAGAAAGAATTTTGCCCATCTCAATGGTGTGTAGCTTTTGTTGATATCTAAGGCATTTGGAATAACTTAGGATCTTGGTGTTAAAAAAAAATGGCAGGGTTAAATTATCTTTGGTTCTCATTCTAATCTTAAGACTTCTGTTTGTTTCTTCCTGGTACCCATAACCTTCTCAGCACTTCGTCATTGTGACTTAACCAGTACTGTTGAAATGATCAACTCTTTTACACGTTCATCAGAAAACCTTTTAAAGGATGCTAAGGGGAGAGGCCTCTGAAACTACGAGGGTTGAAAGGAAAGCCAGAGAGAATGACAGGAAGAACCAACCTTCTAACAACCCACACACAGGACTCTCTCTCTACCATTCAGACTGCTATCTATAAAATAGGGTGCTTCTGGTTGGGGAATGCCACCCCAGGTCCTCCAAGCAACCCCTTTCCCCATAGTGGGAGGTCAGCATCCCTCAGAAGAATCTCAGAAGAAAATGATAAAGTATTTAGAGAATTGGGAAGAAAATAGAGAGATACTATCAAAGAGTAAAGGACAGTCCTGTGGGATGAAGGGAGGTTTTTTTCTTTCTTTCTTTCTTTTTTTTTTTGGAGAGAGTCTTGCACTGTCGTCCAGGCTGGAGTGCAATGGCGCAATCTCAGCTAACTGCAAGCTCCACCTGAAGGAAGATTTTCCAAGCAACATTGCCTCTATCACAGGTGAGAGTCTTCAATGTAATACTGGCACCAACAAGAGAACAGAGCTAAATTAAAACGACCCTTCGAAATGTCAACAGAGCTGATGTGCGCAGCAGGAAGGACGATGACACAACATGCACAGATCGGTTCCTATTGCACAGTCCACCTTTCCCAAGTACTCTTGGCAGCCCAGAATAACAAAATCTTGTTAGATGTCTGTCTATAATATGCAAACACACACACACACACACACACACACACACACACACACAAAACCTGGGTTATAAAAGAGCTTTGTGGATCACAGCATACCTCCACTTGATCCAAGAATTTAATTGTCAACATTAGGCAAACAGACCCAATGAATGTAATCAGGAAGAGAATTAACTGGTTGGCTGGAATACTGTATTGGATATGATGTGCTTATGTGCAAACTAATCTCCAACTGTTTGTCCAGTACTAATTCAACTGACTCATCTTCTAAATGTATAGGACTAAGTCTTTAAAAAGTTCAGCTTTTCAGCAACAAAAAGTTAACATCATCTAAAATAAATTAAATTTTAAAATATATGTAATGAAATTATAGGTCACTGGAAATTCATTTCTACAATGAATATAAATTAACATTAAAATCTATTAAGTACTATTCCTGGGAAGATTTTGGTTCAGAGGTTATTTTTTAAGGGCATAATATTTGGGAATAAATGGGCACAGCTTAGAAACCCTTACAAAGTTATAAGTAGACTAGAGATAAGATTATTTGGTGATAAGATACAAAGATCTCTATGTCCAAAATAATGGCTTACCTCATTTTAGTTAATAGAAGTATTCCCAAAAAGTTGTGCAAATAGGCTTTTTATAACTGGACCCTTATTTTAAGTATACTAGAGGCCATGGTTGTAAAGAAACCCTGTAATGACTCCGCTAATAAACTGAAGAACTCTAAGTGATTAGCCCCTGTCCTACCTACATCTGCACAGTGGACGGCATACTCCAGGCACTCAGTAAGTGTTTGTTGAATGCATGAATTTGTTCTGACAGTTTTTTTTCCCCTTACGGGACTTTCTTAAAGTGAGGCACATGCTAACTGAAATGGTTCTGCCTGCTGTTACTGCAGAAAAATGGAATCCAGCTCACAGTTTAACTGATTCCATCACAAAATATCAGATAATTTCAGAGTGTTTTCAATCAAAATAAAATTTCCATAAGTATGAGTATATATATTTTTGACGAATGTTGACCTATGACTGGCAGAAGCTTTTATTGTTAACTCACTCAGTGAAAACAACTGCTTGAGCTGAATTCTATTTCAATTAACCAAGGCAGGTAAAGCACTTTACCTAACTTCAGAAATACCACCAGAAACCATTCCACTTCTGTAGGAGAGTCTTCCCCTCACTCCAGCACAAATATTTAAATGCTGTCCTTACCTTAGTCTACAAAAGCAAAAACATGAATTACAAAGCTAAGATTAAATTAGAAAGTTGCCTGACTTAAATATGACAAAGTGTTTTTAGCCTTAAAATAAGAACTAAGTCAAATACATTCAATAAAGGTAACTCTTAAAGGCAAATTTTTTTCTTATTTGGTGTTTTCTTCCCTTCCCATTTAAATTTAAGACTCAATTTTTAAAAATATTCATATATCCATTTTTCTAAATAATATATCCTCTTTAAAACCATACAGAATGCCTAGCAATGCAACCTATGTGTCCACATAAATATGCAGTCTGCCACATAAATAAAATAAAAGGTTACATCAGTCTATTTATTCAGCATTTGTAACTGCAAAAACGGCTGGAAAAATAGCTGAGAATATTTTTATCCAAGTTTTGGGGAGGACTGAACACTGGTAAGGATTCACTGTAGGGCTCCATCATTATAAGTTTCCTAAAAAGTAGTGTGCAAACAAAATATCTGAACACAGAACCCTATTTTAAACATACTAGATGTATGTGTGGGTATGGGTGATGGAGAAGAGAGAACGAGTATGTTAATATGAATGCTTGTCAAGCACATTGATAAGAAAACCTCTCACTTAAGGTGCTAATGACATGTCAAGGGTCCTAAATACAACAGATTTTAAAATCATCTTTACCATTTGTTCCAATTATTGACTTTGGCCCTTTACCACACAGACACAATGAATCTACATTTTGATGATCCGTCATTGGCCCGAGTATCATGTCTGGAGATGGATTTGCTCCCATAATTTAAAAATCAATAATTTAAAAAATAACAAAGTTGGTCTCTTTTTTCCAACAGTTTTCAAGTAATTAATTCAAGTAAGCTTATTTACAGCTGCTACTGTATATATGTGACCTACTTTAACCCTTCTTTACCCTTTAGGAATCGGTCTCCCTTGGAATGGGACACCACATTTTAAAAAAAATCTTGAACCAGGTTTCTTTCATCTACTAATTCAATTCAGTCATGTTTCTGCTTTATTGGGCAGATAAAGAGAAGAAACCAGCAAGTTATGTCCAAAAGCTGGAAAACGCCGAAATGCTTCCCAACTATCTGAAAAGATGTTGTACTTGAGGAACACTCGGTGTTCCAAGCTGGTCGACAGGGTGACATCTCTGCTCATGATGTAGATGCCGTCGTTATGGAGCGCACAAGTCAAGTTAAGACCCGATTTGGACGTGTTCTCCTTGAGGTAGAGCCACTGACGGGTGACGGTGTTGTAGGACTGCACGGTGAGCATGTCTTCGCTCTGGCTGCTCCTGCGGTTGGGCCCCAGCTCGTGGAGACACCCCCCGACGATGTAGATGGTCTCTTCCACAGACACCATCTGCTGCTTGCGAATGTGGACGTCACACGTTTCAAACAGCGTCCAGATGTCGGAAGAGGGGCAGTACTGCAAAATGTTCATGTTCCGGTCTGAAAGAAAGAAAGGCAAGTGATGACTCCGCCCCGACTAACGCCACTAGGCAAGGCTGTACAGAAATGTCTAACACTACGTGCATAATTTGGTAACAAAGAGAAAAAACTGTTTCAGAAAAAGCACAACTTGGAAAAACCGTTTTCAAAATGGCTGGGAAGAGATATATTTAGATCCATCCACACTCACTTCTCACTCCCAAACGTCTCTGCCTTGGGAGACTCAGACTGGATAAAACCAGGAAAAAGAGCAGCTCTGACTTTCACACAGCCCCTCCTCCCTGGTATCTCCACACCCGTGAACCACCAGGTCAGTGTAAAAAAAAAGTAAGTGCCTCAGACTCCTCATCAATAGCTACAAAATTACCAACTACTTAATACAGAAGCCAGGCTGGGCAGGAAGCAGATTATTCTTGACAGCTGATCCTAAGAAACAGGACAAGTAGCAACACAGGATTTCCAGGGGCTGTCCCGTGAAAAGGACACAACATTACACTTCAGGAGAAATGCATCAAAGTCTCACCTGCAGCCTTCTAACAAGCCACAGAATCACTTGGCAATTCAGTTTTCCAGTTTTTTTTAATGATTATTATTTGTAAAGGCAGGGTCTTTACCATGTCCAGCCTTGGTTTCCCAATTTTATCACCAGAGAGACACTAACAAAGGTCTTCCTATGTCCCTCACAAGAGACAGTTGTAGTGTAGGTAAGATCAAAGTCTAGATAAAAGGTTGCTGACATTTTAAATTAATAATGATTTTCAGCCAGGCATGGTGTCTCATGCCTGTAATCCCACCTCTTTGGGTGGTTGAAGCAGGAAAATCACTTGAGCCCAGGAGTTCGAGACTATTATTAGCCAGGCATGGTGGTGTGCACCTATGGTACCAGCTGCTACTTGGAAGGCTGAGGTGGGAGGATCACTTTAGCCTGGGAGGGTGAGGCTGCAGTGAGCTGTGATCATGTCACTGCATTCCAGCTAGGGTGAGAGAGTGAGATCCTGGTCTCTCAAAAAAAAAAAAAAAAAATTAATTTTCTTTAAGGAAAAATGTTGCCTAGTCTCTTTGTGAAAAACACTTGTGAAATTTAGAATATCTAGTTTTGTTTTTCTTGTTTTTAATTGTTCTCTTTTTCTTTTCTCCTCTAGGAAAGAATAAATAAGTATTTTAGCCACAGCAGAAAAAACAAATGCTCTGAGTTATAAACAGAATGAACTTCGTTTGTTGTTTTTTCTAAACAAACAAATCCTATCCATGAAGGAGACAGCTCAGCTTGGGAACTGACAGACAACTAAAGCCTACAGCACTGTGCTGGCTGCAGACGCTTGGTAAGAGAAGACAGCTCATTTTCTCAGAAGTTTCATACCTCTTACAGTCCTTCCTTCTGAGAGGGACCCACCCATAGTTAGCAATGCTTAAAAAGCACCCTCCACAGCCACATCTGATACCAACTAAAGGATCTCCTAAGAGAGCAAAGTCCTGTGGCGCACATGTCCTGATGCCTGGAGAAATCTCAGAATTGTAAGCCATGGCATTAGGAAACTGTCCTGACTTCCACCCATATTAATACCTCTCCTTCTTTCTTTTTACTGTAGCTATTATGATAAAGATCATTTTAGGAGATGGCCCAAGGGGATTTTAGTCACTAATTTATCAAAAAGTGCTCCTTAGTGACCTGGCTGTCCACCGAATGAATAAAGAACTCATTATATGAGGCTTCCACATATTTCTAAGCTCCAGGCCCAAAGGTCTTTCCAGGTGTTCTGTAAATGTTTTCTCTCCTCACTCAACAAGGGCTCAGACCATGAAGAGGTGGTTTGAGTTGGTGGAATGATCTTTTTGTTTTTACATTTAAAGTTGATTCTGAAGTTTGACAAATCACCCTTCTTCCCTTTACAGCTATTACTCTCTACTGAACTTCTTTGGATTTCTTCAGTGCCGCTCAAGAATTAAAATCATCAAATAGCTACCATAAAAATGAGCTACTATTTACTAAATTATAAAAGTCTCACTTGACTTAAAAAGTCAGAAGGCTAAAAACTAACTTTCTTTTTTTTTTTTTTTCCTAACAATCATGATATCTTATCTGAAATACACGGAACTATGAGGAAGTGCTGGGAAAGCCCCAGCAGAGAAAGAGGAGGGCTTCAGAGTATAAGTAACTGCCCAGCTCTCCCATTTTAAAAAACTAGTTTTCAGCCCTTATACAAATAGCCATCCATCCACATCACTGAACCATCCCATCAAGGGTATTTGGCTCAGGGAATCCAGAACAGAAATCACGGTGGGTGGCCCAAGTGAAGAAGGTACATTAGCAGTGGCTTGTGAAGCTACAAAACACACAAGAAGGGTTTTCTAGGTCAAATCTAAAGAACATTTGCTCAGCCAGGGTCATGGAAAAACTAGGAAATCTACCAGTAAAGTACTCTTTGGGTTACAGTGCCGCCTGTCAGTGTTGAACAGCTCTTGGTTACAAGAGAAGTCAAAGCACATATGTGCGTTATGTCAGCCCACAAGATGCAGTCTGTGTTACTCAACCTAGAGAGGAATGAGAATTCTTAGAATTGCTCATAGGTAAATAACTGGGAGTATTTACTTTCCTAGAAGAAAAAACACACACACACACACACACACGAGAGAGGGGGGATTACTACATAAACACAGGAGTTCTGGGGGACTGAGGGGCCCATAGCTTAGTCTAAACCTATAAAGTTAATCACTGTAACCTGACAACCAATGATGAAGATCAAAGAAATGACTAAGTCTCTCTTTTTTTTTTTTTTCAATTATATGTAAAGAAAAAGTTGTAAACTATCTTCAGTGGAGAGTCACCAGAGAGGGACATTGGGAACAGTTCAACAAATAATGAAAACTTGGAGTGGGAAAAAAAAGGTCACTTCTCTTTGTCTTCCCTCTCCTTAAATACATAAATATACACATCGCTTCAGTGGGTTGCATGGTTGTCCCTAACAAGATACGTCAATTTCCTAATTCCCTGAACCTGTGAATGGTGATTTTATTTAAAAAATAATAATAATAAAGCGGGGGGAATCTTTGGGCCAGGCACAGTGGCTCACGCCTGTAACCCCAGCACTTTGGGAGGCCGAGGTGGGAGATCGCTTGAATCCAGGAGGTTGAGCCTGCAATGAACTATGACTGTGCCACTACACTACAGCCTGGGCAACAGAGTGAGACTCCATCTCAAGGGAAAAAAGAAAAAGAAAGGGGATCTTTGCAGATGTAATTAAGTTAAAAACCTTAAGACAAGATCTTCCTGGATTACCCAGATGGGGCCTAAACCCAGCAGTGGCAACTGTCCTTAGACAGAAGGGGAGAAGCCACAGACACACACAGAGGAGAAGCCCCTGTGAAGATGGAGGCAGGGCATCATGGAGCCACCAGCCAAGGAGCGCCGAGCTACCAGAGACTAGAAGGAGCAAGGAGGAATCCTCCCTTAGAGGCCTCAGAAGGAACACAGCACTGCTGACACCTTGACTTCTGACTTCTGGTCGCCAGAACTATAAGAAAATATATTTCTGTTGTTTTAGGCCACCAAGTATATACTAACTTATTATGGCAGCCACAGGAAACTAACACACCTCCCACCATCTTCCCCACTGAATTAATGTTAAGACTTACTCTAAAAAGAAATAAATCAGATGTTCATCAAATACTTTACATTTTAACTTCTTCCTAACATAAATCCCCCAAAACAGGACACATTTGGATATGGTGGAAGGAATTTCTGTCACCTATCTGGATGCTATGTTAGCCTGTGGATTTCTGTCCTTTGGGAAGTTCCCATGGCTGCTGCGGCCTCACAGGGTCTTCTTCGTGCTTGTTAGCCAGGGCTGAAGAGCTCTGTCCTGCCCATATGGTACCACAAACGAGTGGCAGTTTATTTCACCATGTCGAATAAAACAGCAACTCTACTACTTTAATGTGGCTTAAAGTCCTAAGAGCCAGGTTACACCTTTTCTGTAAGTCCTGGGCTCCACAGAGTCAGACAGACCAAATGCAGAAATAGATTTCCTGGGATAAGAGGTAACTTGGAGACATCTGCTTTGGAGAGTGAAGGGAAGGAAAGGCACCCCTCTGCTTGACTGTCCCTCATTGTCTGTCTTCCCACAACCACAGTTTTCTTTTTTCTTTCTCTCTCTTTTTTTTTTTTTTAATTTTAGAGACTGGGTCTCACTCTGTCACCCAGCCTGGGGTACAGTGGGGCAGTCATAGCTCACTGCAGCCTCAAACCCCTGGCTCAAGCAATTCTCCTGTCTCAGCCTCCCAAATAACTGGGACTACAGGTATATGCCACCACATCCAGCTAATTTTGTTTATTTTCATTTTTAGAGAAGGGGTCTTGCTATGTTGCCCAGGCCTGTCTTGAACTCCCAGGCTCAAGCGATCCTCCTGCCTCAGCCTCCCAAGTAACTGGAACTACAGGTACATGACACCACATCCAGCTAATTTTTTTCTTTTCATTTTTAAAGAAGGGGTCTTGCTGTGTTGCCCAGGCCTGTCCTGAACTCTCAGACTCAAGCAATCCTCCTGCCTCAGCCTCC